TTTATGTGTGTGAGTGTATGCACCCGTGTTGTGCAATACCACAGAGATCAGAAGAGGGCATCGGATTCCCCTGGAAATGGAGTTAAGGACGGTTCATAGCTGCCATGTGGGTGCTGGGAATCGAACCCGGGTCCTCTGTAAGAGCAGTCAGCTCTTAACCTCTGTGCCATCTCTCCAGCCCCAGTTTTCTCCCTTTTCCATGAGTAGTCTGTGCCTGGGGTCTCATCTGGCCCTGTCCCACTCAGCACCTGTACTGAATGTGGAGCCTTGCTACTGGTTTTCTTGTGCAACTTGAGTTTTGGGTCTCTTTGTTCTTGTGGGTCAGTGGCTCATGGCAGTGTTTGTATAGCGTTGCTGTTCACTGAAGAGGTGGAATTTTGCTTTTTGGAAATTGTTTATTACTTACTGGAAATGCAGGAAGGAAGCTTGAACATAAAGCTCACTCATTTAAAAAAAAAAAAAAGCACACACAGAGAGTAAGAAACCACAGGGCCTATCGGACTGTCGTCATCAAGCAGGCTAGAATACTGCAGAAAACTCTAGGCAGAGAGGAAATGAACTAAAGAGAAGGAACACAGGCCAAGGAGGGAGGAGAGAGAATGTGGGAGTAATGGCAGGGGACAGCTGAAGCAGCGATGGTCAGGATGGAAGAAGTAGCCGTGAAGCAAGGCTTCCTGTACCTTCAGCAGCAGCAGACCTTCGGCAAGGTGAGAGCAAGGCTGGTGTCGGGTCGGGCAGAGTAACCGTGAGGTTGTTAGAAATTCCCCGGGTGGAAGGGATCTCAATGACTCTAACCCCTGTGGGACCCTACGTGGCACCAAGAAGATGCCTTGGTTAAGGAAGCTTGCTCCCCAAACCAGGCCCCAAATTGCCCTCTCTGTGGAGGGCTGTGTGTCCTCATGTGTGGGGAGGGGAAGGAAGGAGAGGCTGACTTCATCTCCTTCTTGCTCCCTCCTTTGGTACTGAATTCTGTGGACAACTTGGAAGGGTATGGAAAGAAGAGCTGGGGGTACAGTTTGGGATGACAGTGGAGGATCCTTTCCCCTTTGTTCAGTGGGGCCTGGGGCCTCTGGAGCTGGAGCCCCAGGGTGTTCCAACCTCCTCCCCTCTTCCCTGGCCTCCTAGAAGGAGGAAGTCTTCTGCCTCTTACTCCATGCCCAGGCATGCCTTCCCACCCATCTCTCTTTCTGGGTCTCTGTTTCTCTGTGTCTCTCTCTTGTGGCCCAACCTGTCAATCAGGGGGCAAAAAGGTTAAGAGGGTAGCAGAAATTTCCTGGAGCTAGAGCCTTCCTACAGAATGAGGACCATCTCTGTTCTGGGCTGCCTTCTCCTCCTGCTTCTCTGTGCTTCTCTGACTCACCAGTACTTGCTGGATAGGCCTGTCTGCCTTCCTGTACCGTGCCCTGCACCCACTGGAACCTGCCCACCTCCTCAGTCTCCTGGCCAATCTCCTTTCTCATTCCAGTGGGCTTTCTTTTTCTCATTGCTTTTCTGCCTCTTCTGTGATTGGACTTTCTTTCCTTTGTCCTGTGTTGCTGCCCTAGCCCCAGTCCCTCTCCCACAGCTCCTCTTATCCCTTTTGGTGACTGTCTCTCCATCTCTGGTGGCGCTCTCTCTCTCTCTGCTTCTATCTGCCATCCTGACTTCAGAAGTGGCGTCGGTTCATTGCTGTGTTGTATGGAGAGTCTGGCTGTGCCCTGGCCCGACTGGAGCTCCAGGATAGCCCTGAGAAGACACGTCGTGGAGAGGGCACTCGGAAGGTTGTCTGCCTCAGTGACTGCTTACGGGTGGTTGAGGCAAGTGGAGAAGCCAGTAGTCCCCGGGACACCAGTGCCTTCATCCTGGAGACCAAAGAACGTCTGTACCTGCTGGCAGCCCCCTCAGTGGAGCGTGATGACTGGATACAGGCCATTTGCCTGTTGGCTTTCCCGGTGAGTAGGTGCAGAGTGGGCCACAAGCATACAGGGGAGGCAGTGCTAGACATTTCCTGTGCACAGCGGGGTAGGACAGCCAAGGTGGGGGTCTTCCTTAGTAGGACCAAGTTTAGAGTGTAGTCAGGGCCCGTAGCCTGGGTGTGCACCAAACAAAAGCCTGGACCAGAGGGAGGTGTTGGGATAAGTTTTTGGTGCTAAGACCTGGGGCCTCCTCCTCAGGGACAGAGGAAGGAGCCCTCAGGTCTGGAGGGGAAGAATGACAGGCCCTGCATGGAGGAGAATGAATTGTACAGCAGCTCAACCACAGGTGAGGGGTGGGGGCCGAGGGACACTCTCCTTTGGTGTGGTTGGGAGGAGGTGTGAGCCAGCTAGGCTGGGCCAAGTCTTCCTGCCTTGTGGCTGCCCCAGGCCCAGCTTATCAGCTTTGCTTATTGGCTTCCGGGTGCAGCTCAAGGTGGTGGAGCCCAGCCTGCCCTGAGTGTGACCCTTGGCTTACCCTGCCTTGCCTGGACCTGCTGGTGGGAGAGGACAAAGCTGAGGGTCTTGCCCTTGATCCTCTCTTTGTGGGACCTGAGTGACTGTGTGAGGAAAGAATTGCCTTCTGTGTGAGCTTGTCTGTGCAAAGTGTCTTTTGGCTAGGGAGTGGTGGTCCTGGCTCCTGCTGGGGAGGACCTTGAACCTCCTGGGCTGGGGATGTAGACACAGGAGATGTCCATCTGTGTTCCATTTCAGCACCATCCACAGCGGTGTGGTTGGGGACAGTGGTTATGGGAGAGGGAGTCAAGCTTTACCTGCAGCTGTGACAGTGACAGCAGGGACTGGGTAGTACTGGTTTCGGGGGAGAGATGGGGTGAAGACCAGGCTGTGGCTCTGGCAACAGTGACAGGAAGGATGTAAGCCCAGGATTGGGTGATATGGCTGAGGGCATGAATGATGTCTCCCAGGGGAGGAGGTGATGTTTGGGGGAGTGACCGGGCACACAGTAGCCTAGCCTTTAAGATCCAGGCTGGGTCTTAAAATACAGTCTTGAACAACTATGAGCAATAGTTTTTCTAGAAACCTTCAGGCATGCTTTCTTAGAATTGGGGCAGTGTGGAGGGAGGCCAACTATTTCCTGTAGCTGCCTCTTTCTCTTCTTCCTAGGGGTCCCCTGCAAGGAATTTGCTGTGACCATGAGACCCACAGAAGCCAGCGAGCGGTGCCGGCTCCGAGGGTCCTATACTCTCCGGGCCGGGGTGAGTGCCCTGGAGCTGTGGGGTGGCTCTGAACCAGGCACCCAGCTGTATGACTGGCCCTACAGGTTTCTTCGACGCTTTGGGCGGGACAAGGTAAGTGAGGGGCCACACTGGGCAGGCTGAGACACAAAATAAATTATAGAAGAGAAATGGCCAGAGAGACAATAAAGGAAGAGGTAATGTTGGTGGAGGATGTCTACCAACAGGAGAGACAGCAGAAGTGGGACACCCAGGGAGGGAACCAGGGAGGAAAGAGCAGTAGAAACCAAGAGGTCTGGGTGAGGAGCCCAGGAAGGAGGAGGGGTGAGGAGTGGCTGACTTCCTGAGGATAGGCCCCATCCACATCCACCATCCGAGCTTGAGGGGAAGGGAGGGAGAGAGCATTTTCTTGCCAGGACAAAAAAGTCTGTCAGGTATAGTGGCACACAGCTATAATCTCAACACTAGGGAGGCTGAGGCAGGAGGATAGAGAGTTGGAGGCCTACCTCAGTTACATAGTGAGAACCTGTTCTCAAATAACCAAGCAAACAGTCCACCAACCCCAACAAACTAAACACAGAGGGAGAAAAGAACAATGAGCTTGAAAAGAAGGCTCAGATATTTCTGGGGCAAGGTCTGTGTTCTGGTCGGGGTCCAGAAAGCAGCACTGCCCTGTGGCTAGCCAATAGCCTCTTTTCCCTTCACCACAGGTAACCTTTTCTTTTGAGGCTGGCCGGCGCTGTGTCTCAGGAGAGGGCAACTTTGAGTTTGAAACCCGACAAGGCAATGAGATCTTCCAGGCTCTGGAAGAGGCCATTGCTGCCCAGAAGAATGCTGCCCCTTCCGTGCAGCCACCACCCCCACCAGCCACAGGGCCCATGGTACCTACTGTGCTGCCCCGGCCTGAGAGCCCCTATTCCCGGCCCCACGACTCTCTGCCCTCCCCTTCCCCTGGCACATTTGTACCTGGCACAAGGCCAAGGGGCCCCGAGGGGGAGTATGCTGTGCCTTTCGATGCAGTCGCTCGTTCACTGGGGAAGAGCTTTGGGGGCATTCTGGCAGGCCCTCCCTTGCTCCCCACTGACCCACTGTATGACAGCATCCAGGAGGATCCTGTGGCCCCTCCACCTGATCACATTTATGATGAGCCCGAGGGTATGGCTACCCTGTCCCTATATGACAGACCACGGGAGCCCCAGGGGGAGGCATGGAGAAAGCAGGCCCCCGGTGATGGGAGCCCCAGCCCCCTCCAGCAGGACTCCTCTGTGTCTGGCTGGCCACAGGTAACTGAGTATGACAATGTTGTACTTAAGAAAGGCACAAAGTGATGGGGTGCTGAGGAGATGTGACCCCCAGGGAGGGCTTTGGAGGTTGTGGACGAGGTATAGGAGCCTCTGCTAGTGAATTCTCTTGACCACTGTATTGGAGTTCCTCCCTCTGTGCCTTCCTGAGTGGGCTTGGCCTGCCTTGTTTGCCTACTGTGTGAGTCACCAGCCCAGGGCAGGAAGAGACCTACCCTCCTACGACTTTTCTACTTCCTCCCCCTGCCCTGGGTCTAAAGGGAACTAGGGTTATTTCTAGATGTCCATAGATGCCCTCGTTCCTTAGCTTGTACAGGCCTCCTGCCTACAGATATCCCATTCTTGGGACATCTCTGGCCCCAGATACCCAGGAGGATGTCTGTAGTTCCTGCAGGTTTCAGATTTCTCCAAATCATTAAACCATTTCTGAACCATTTCTTTGTGAGTGGAATGAATACTACAGGTGACCCATTGAATACCCCCTCACCCAGCTGTGAGGTTCTCCCTGGGCCTAGGCTGGGATACCAGCCTTTGTCTAAAGAGTCAGAGGCCTGAGAAAGTCAGGGTGTCTTGGGAATGGTTTGTCTTCATCTGTTTTGTGTTGCTGTAACTGAATGCCACAGGCTAGATAGGTTATGAAGAACAGAGGTTTATTTAGCTCATGGTTCTACATGTGGGAGAGAGCAAAGCCATTCCCCAGGTATTCAAACCAGGCCAATGTTCAAGGACAAGATTAATACCATAATAATGGCAGTGTGTGTGTGTGTGTGTGTGTGTGTGTGGTGTGTGTGTGTGTGTGTATGTGTGTGTGTGTGGTGGATTGTCAGTGAAAAAGCTGGACTGCAGGAAAGGAAAGACTTGGAATTGAAATTGTTTTTACATTTGTTTGTTTTGTGTGTGGGTACAGGACTTGTGGCATGGTCCACATGTGGAGGTCAGAGGACAACTTGTGGAAGTCGGATCTCTCCTCCTCCCATGTGGGTTCTGAAGACTGAACTCAGGTCATCAGGCTTGGCAGCAAGCACTTTTACCAGTAAACCATCTCACTTGCCCCAAGACTTGGCATTTATTATGTCTTTTATGCACTAGGAATGGAACTCGCCTTCTGTATGGCCCTGGTAAGCTTTCCTTGGGACTTTTCCCTTTATAATTATGAGGGGGTGGTACCATAGGGGAGTGAGAACCCTTTTAGTTATGTAATGCCTCCTAGGGGGGCCCTAGGCTTCCTTGTACCCCATTTCCTCATAGACTTTTGACCTTATGATTTCTCTTGTGATCAAAACCTGGGCTTATGGGAAGGAATGGCTCTATATTTCTCAGTCAGCCCAGCCAAACGGAGAACCATGTGTAGGATGCTGTAGACTTCCCTGACTTCAAGCATGCACCACTCTAAAGGGGAGATAAGGCACAGGTTCCTGTTCCTGAAAGGGGACATAAATGCCCGAAAGAGGCAAAATGAGACCCTGTACTTCAGGGGACAAAGAAAGGCTTTATATCAAAAGGTGGCATTGATGGGGGACCTTACTGGTTAGGAAGGAATTTGATGGTGCTTAAGTGGGGACTGAGGAGACAGCATCCTGGGTAGAAAGAAGAAAAGGAGTGAAGCTATGGAGGGAGTTAGGGAGCAGTTCTGTGTTCAGAGTGGAGGGAAGGCATGGCAATATACAACCTCCAACCTGCGATTATTCAGCTGAGGATTTTTGAAATGAAAGCTATATACATCCAGTAGAAACCACACTTCGAACCTTGAACTTTGATCTTTCCCCTGGTAATCAGTGTTCTCTTTCCCCTGGTAATCAGTGTCCTTGAACTTTGATCTTTACCCCGGTAATGCTGGGTGTTGGCAGTGACCCATGATCTCTTGGTTGGTCTGGTGTATTGCATGAAATTTTGACTTAGGGTAATTTGAACATAGGAGGCTTACCAGCACAGAAGGTAGAGGAGCATCTGCAGTGGGAAAGGCAGAGTCTGACCATGTTGTGGGGGAACTCATATTGAGTTAGAGAGGAAGAAGGCTTCAGGGGCAAGGAATTCCACAGGAACAGACCTTTAGGGTAATAATCCCAGTCGTGTTGGGGAAGGTAGACTTGGGGTGAGAGGCATAGGTTAGGGCCTCCACAAGAGTTCCTTGAATTCAAAAAGTATTAAATAGTTAACCACCATGGACTGTGGCGCTCTACTGGATGTGGTTCACAGAGAAGCAGGGTTTCCAGAGGAAGTACAGGTTTTGAGTAGGTGAACTTGACTCATGACATGCTGAGATTAAGATGGCTATAGTACATCCAGCCAGAGCAGGCCTGGAGCTAGAAGGGGCCTAGAGTCCAGGAGGCAATGAGGGACAGACATGCAGATCAGTGAGGATTGCACGACCTCAGATGTGTTGCTACCCATGTCTCACTGTGGCTTTGCCCCTTATTGAAAGAGTTTGAGTGAAAAAGCCAGAGCAAGGGAAAGACCCCCCTGCCTGTTTCATCTGTGCCAAGGATCACATCCAATTGTAGTCCCAGGATCCATGGGGCTTGTGGACCTGGTTCCTCCAAGGAGCTCAGACTTTCTGCTCCTCAGACTATGGGTGAGCATTGGGGTAGGCGAGGAGGGGCATTAAAGTGAAGGAGGCCACATTATTAATTTTCTCAGGTGGTACCTTTCGAGATCATCCTGGCTCTGGTCAGCAGGGGGCAGTGTCAGCCTGTGGAAAAGGCCACCAGGGGCTTATCTTGCCAGGCTTCATGGGTGCCTGTCCTTGAAGAATGAACTTCCTTACCTGAAAGGTCTTGGGGCGGCTTCAGGAGTCTGCATTTTAGAGCTGGTCCCTTCTGACCCCCAGAAGCCCACTCTGGAAGTGTGGATGTGTCTTTAAAACGTGAGGTTCTGAGCTGAACCCTGTCCCCTGTGCCCTTCTAAACCTTCAAGAGCCAGAGGCTTATGGCTGTTGTTCTACTCTGAGGTAGCAAGGTCTCACGAGGGGAAGTGGTGGACAGCTTGGTTGGGGAAAGGTGGGGTGAGGGCTGGCAGCTGAGGAAGTAGAGCGGGTGGGGAAGTTGGGAGGGGCAGTAAGAGGGCTGCTGGGAAAATGCTGACTAGGCCTCCGTGCCCTCTCAGAAGAATGAGCCAGCGGGGGTGGGGTGGGGGCAGGAGGGCATTCTGTAGAGAGCTGCCAGTGCTACCTAGCTTGCTTCAGCTGCAACTCTGTCATCATAGTGTGTGCATCATTCCCTCATTCAACGAATACCACAGAGCATCTCCCATGTCCCCCTCACCCAGAAGCTGGGGTTCTGCAGGCTTCCACAGACCCAGACCCATCTCATGGGGCCCACAGTGGAGAGCAGTGGGCAGAGATGACTGCTTATGGATCAAAGAGTGGACTAGCTTGAGAGAGCACTCTCCTCAGACAGACACACAGAGGCAAGGCCTCCTTGGCCACTTAGGCTGCCAGGGGCAAGTTCATGATTAAAGAAACAGATCTGCCTCAGAGGAACAGGGTAATAGGCGAGCAAGGGAGGTTCCATCCAGAGACGCTCTCTTGGATCCAGGCAACCTGCCTGTCTGCTGCCTGGCACCTGTTGATACCATGAGGAGCTTGGTTGTGACTAGGGTACTTATCTTGGCTTCTGATTGCTTAATAAAGGAACATGTTCTGAGAAAGTTGTCACTAGGCATTGGCATTGTTGAATATCATACCTAGATGGTGTTACCTATTACATACGTAGAGTATATAGAATGTGCATATGTATGTCTGTGTGTGCATATGTAGTATGTGGTATATGCTATATGTGTGTATGTATGCACATAATGTATACATGGCCTTTATTCTATATAATACTCATGTTTTATATATACAATATATTGTATTTGTATGTGTGACATAGACTATTGCTCTGAGGCTTCACACCTATATGTACATTTTATTAATGTGTGAAATACTACAGCTAATTGTAACACAACGGCATTTGTATAATATAAATATATCTAAACACAGAGAAGGAGTCATAAACATACTAGGCAGTAGGAATTTTTCAGCTGCTATAATCTTGTGGGATTTATGTGCAGATGACCATTGACTGAGAAGTCATTGTGTGGTACACAACTGCATTATGTAGAGGTGGCATGAGGGCAGGCAAGATTGGCATTGAGGCAGGTTCCCCAGCTTAGATGTGTGCACAGATTCATGGACTGTTGGTATGCACACACAAGCAAGCAGTATTTTTTTCTGTCCCTTTTCTTCTCTGCTTCTCTCATTTCCCATGGTTCCTACTTTCTACAGACTGCACACACTGTGTGTGTGTGTGTGTGTGTGTGTGTGTGTGTGTGTGTGTTAGCTGTGGTCTGCATAAACCTGTCCCCATGCTTACAGCGGGGTTGTCAGGCCCTCAGGAGCTTCTACTGCGGACTTTCTGCATCTAGGAAGGCCCAGATTGCTTGGGTCTCTCTGCTCACTCAGGCTCCTCCCTGGTGGCTCAGCTCAAGCTGTTGCTGCCATCACCTTTCAGCTGTGATGCTAACCAGCCTCCTGCCTCCAGCCTCCTGGGCGCTGATTCAATTAGCTAAGGTGCCCACCTCCTGCAAGGGCCATTTATAAAATCAACCGGGGCAGCTGCAGACCTCGGGCAGGGTGGGGTTGGGGGAGGCAGTGAACTGGGAGGAGGTAGCAGAGGAATGAGGCAGTCTGGGAGGGGTGTCTGATCCGATTAGGTGTCAGGCTGGTTTCCCCCTGGCAGGTGGTTGTTCATCACTGCCTAGCTCCGATCCTCCACTGACCAGCACAGAGTAGAGCCCATCAATCTCCAGGCTGTGGCCAGGCTGCTCTCTTCCTTGCCTCCTCCCACCCCCAGAGCCCTCTTCTGGATCTCTGGCCTAGAGGTGGTGGGTGGGGGTCAGAGGGGAACAGATGGAGAGCATGGGGTTCTGACAGATTTGTGGGGGAACTGGAGTCCCAGAGTGGGACTAAGAAAATTTGAGCCCTGTGTCTAGGGCAGGGTCAGCTTTGTATCTCTTGATGTCTTATCACAGAGGGGCTGGTGGGGAAAGGGGAGAGGTATCCCCGAGGGGGCTGTAGTGTTCTTGAGTCTGTACAATATTTCCTTGTTTGCAGACTGCTTGGGACAGCTTAGTGTTGTGGGATGGACACACAGGCTGCAGCCTGATTCCCTGGGTTCAAGTTCTGGTTCTGCTACTTTAGCAGCTGCACCTGTTTTCACTGGTGAAAAATGGAGATGATAATGCTACATTTCTCAGAAGCTTCGTGTAAAGACGAAAGGAGTAGATGAACGTAGCACTTCAAGAACAGTGTCAGGCACACGCTGAGCTCTGGTGTCCTTCACAGTTTCCTGTGGCCTCTGGACACCCCTCCCCCCTCCCCCCAACCCAAAGCAGCAGGCAAGTTATTCCCATTTTAGTAATAGGGCCACAGGATTCCAGGGGATGGAGAAGCAGGTTC